CACACACACACACACACACACACACACACACACACACACACACACACACACACACACACACACACACACACACACACACACACACACACACACACACACACACACACACACACACACACACACACACACACACACGCACACATACATGCACGCATGCTTGCACGCACACACGCACGCGCGGGCGCGCGCGCGCGCGCGCGCGTGCGCCCGCGCACCCCCTCGCTCATGCACCCACGCACGCACCCACGCACGCACCCACGCATGCACCCGCGCACGCAACCACGCACGCAACCACGCTCGCACCCACACACCCACGCACCCCACGCACGCACCCACGCACCCAACCACGCACGCAACACCACACGCTCACTCACACACGATATATGAACACATGCAGACATGCACACACGTGCACGCACACAAGTTACCATGTGCAAGCACAAGCACCAGCACAAGCACCAGCACCAGCACCAGCACAAGCACCAGCACAAGCACCAGCACAAGCACCAGCACAAGCACACACACCCTGCGCCCAATCAGGCTGACCGAGGCGGCGCAAGCACTACACAAGGTGCCCCAAGAGCGCACCTAGCGAACACGACGTTAAGCATCCAGAGCTGCAGGTGTTTCCACTTCGATCCACTTCGTCTCACGATTCGAATTTCTTCCGAGCCCTAGTGAGTTGCGAAAAGTAAGTCATTGCAGGTTTACCGGTCTGTTCAGCTATTTTAATTTAAGCCACATTGCAGAAGCCGGCTCTGTTGCTGTTGACGAGGATCCTGACTTAGCAGCCGAAGCTCGAAGCTCAAACTTTGCAGGAGGCTGCGCTTCTCAAGCCCGTGCTGAAGTCCGCCCAACTTTGCAAGCAGCACATGCTAGCACTGACTCATGTTTTGAGCGGTTCTTCCGGTCTGGGCATCAGTGTCAACACGGTTGATGTGGACGACAACAAAGGCACTTCGGTCTTGCGCTATTGCGAAGATATGCGAAGATGCTTCGAAGCCGTGAAGGTACAGCCACGACGAACGCAGAATCCTGGCTTTCTGCAGTGTTGCCGGTCCCCTAGCTGCCCAAGCTGCATGTTGCAGCTTGCTCCGGTCCAACTCAGAGGCTCAAACGCTTCTAAGTGTGGCAATGTCCGAAACGCATCCGGAGAGGTGGATTCGACAGATTGCGTCGGATAACGCAATCCGGAGCATGATTTTTCTGCATGTCATCACGCCATGCAGATTCACAAACGGCGCAAGTTCGTCGCATTGACTTGCTGCATTTGCATCTGGACATGTTAATTGGTCTGGGCAGACTACATGCAAGAGAAGGGAAAGCTGCACCCACACGGACAGCGGCATGTCATGAACAAGAAGTAGGATGTGAATGTATATGTGCATCTAGCGTATGGGTTGAGAGAAGGCTTATGCTGCTTGCATGCGTGGTGGCGCGCTCTGCCGAGGCCTGGCCTTTGTGTTTGCAGGCGGGGAAACCAGAGCAGTGTTATTAAGTGTTTGTTGCCATGCGCATCTGCCGAGTGATGTTAAATGGAAGCTGCCCGCGATCGCAGTAGCAGAGGAAAGTGAGATAAACAACGCAAGAGGATGCAGCAAAATGGAAGGACTGGACACAAGAGAAGGCTCCAGCAGCAAGACTCAAATCTTGATCAAACTAGATTCTCTTGGACTTCCTCCGCTTTTGCGGCTTCTGTTCTTGGTCCAAGGCCACCTG